CAGGCGGGAGCCGGGCGGCGGCCGGGCGGTGCTCTCCCGCCGCCTGAGTGGGCGCGGCGCGGGACGGCGGCGCGGGGTGCCGGGAGCCATGGGCTATTGCAGCGGCCGGTGCACGCTGGTGGCCGTGTGCGGCGCGCAGCTGGTGAGTGGCGGCGGGGGCGGCCCGCGGAGGAGGGGGGGAAGGAAGGCGGGAGGGAAGGAGGGGGCGGCGGGGCGGCTCCCCCGTGCCCGGAGTGGGGGCTCGGGGAGGGGCAGGGTGGGAAGGCAGCGCCCGCGCTTTGGGCGAGGAGGGGCCGGGGGAGGCCGGGATGGGGATGCGAGCGAGGCGGCAGGGTGGGAAATCGGGGCTGTGTTACAGGTAGTTTGGCGGGGACTCCGCCGGGGAGGCTGCGGTGGGCGCACGGCGGAGTTAATAAACTCGGGCAGTTCTCCCAAGCGTTGAGTCAAGTTGGTACCTGGTTTCCTTTGACTGGCCCTGTGCAAGGCAGAGACGCGTGTCAGGCGTGATGCGCAGCTTGCAAACAGTTTGCCATACAGGTGTGTGTCTGTGTGAAGTTGTCACGCCTGAGCTGTTCTGCAGATGTGCATTTTTTTTTTGTTTTCTTTCAGACTTGTTGTCCAGTGTATTTTAACATTGTATCATTATGTTGGTACAGAACTCAGCCATATATTTATATTTACCTTTGGAGAAGACATGTGGCAGCACTTGTAAGCTCAGCTACCAACGAAACTAGATTGAGTTTAAAAAGTAGGCACTGAGATACAATAACAAAGAAGCTGCCTAAAAATAGATCTGCTTAGAGAGATGGTTAGGCTGTGCAATTGTATTGTGGCACTTTGAAAGAGACTGGGGTTAAAGTTAAGAAACTCATATCCCTTTCTGTAATGTATACAATGGGTTATTTCATTGTTGTGGAATCAGATACGTGATGTAAGAATTCCCGTGGATTTGGATGCAATGACATACAGAAAAAGACTTATCAATGGAATATGCCCCATTTCTTATTCTCATTATATTGAATGTTCATGTGCTGGCAGAGCAGATGCTGGAAGCACCTTTGTTAAGCAGTTAACCTTATGGCAGAAGTAAAATATTTCATCTTACTCTATCCCTCTACCTCTTAGTGAATAGTTTTGCTGAGAAAGTGTAAGTCAGTGTCAATGGCAACCAGCATTGTTGCCAATTTCTTTACTGGAGGCAGCTAGAACTACAGTAAGAGAACTACAAAAGAAGAAAAATATTAGATTTCAGGAACCAAATCAGTAAAACAATACATAAGAAAGAAGGATATGTTAGCAGATCAGAAATTTGAAATGCTTGTGATCTTTTCATCAGTTGTTGTCAATTCCTAATCATTTTCTATTCTGGAAAAAAAAACATTTTATTTGTATATACTGTTCCTCATCTAAGTTATTTAATTCTTTGTAACTGGATGTATCTTACCAGACATGAGTTATTCATGTATATTGTCTAGAAAGGAATCTTGAATAGTAGTAAGAGAGTGAATCTTGACTGGAATGGTAGGAATGTAGCCTTTTCCAGCAATTTGGAAACATAAAATTAATGACTGAAGTTCTTCAGATACATTTAAGTTTCAGAGGCATAGTTTTTGTTTCTTCTTTTCCTCCAGAGGGGAGCCTCTTACAGAGCTGGTTTTTGGGGTTTTCTTTTTGTTTTGTTTTGGGTTTTTTTTTGTTTATTTTTGTATTTAACAACCAAGAGGTCACGACGACTACAGAATGTGTTAAGATGTTAAATTACTATTTTTTTTGAAAGTCTGTGAAGGAAAGCATATTTGCTAACTCATGGTGACAAAAAATACATGCAGAACTCAAAAACATCAATAGATATTCCCTGTAGGAATGTATCAGCAGGTGGATGAGCAGGTAAGCTAATGCAGAACTGTAGCATTACTTTCTACATGAAGCTTCCTACAAGTGATTGTAAACTAGAGGGTCAAATAAACATATTTTTAAAAAATAAATACTGTTTTCTGCAGTAGCTTAAGGAAATTTTTAAGAGAACCATAAATTGAAAGCTAACTTGAAAATTTTTATTGAGCAAGAAAAGGATGTGCTAACAGCAATGAAAACTTCTGAATCACACTTGGCCTGTGTCATGACATTTAGATAGGTTAAAAGCAGGAGTAATCATTTAAATGAGAAAAGGGAGACGGAATGGAAAAAAAAAATATACACATTTTATTAAAATCGTGTCACATTCCTTCATGTGCCATATATCATCAGATGGGAATAGGTTATGAGTTTTAAGTCAAGGAGATTTTACTCTCCTCAGTAGGCCCATGGGTGTCTAGTCAGTTGTCAGTACTTTTTTAGGTGAAGACTACTTAAAGGAGCAAATGCTGTCAAGATTCATCCTGGAATTATCAGCCACATTAATGAAGATGCAAATCAAAAATAAAGGATCTGGTAGTTATCTGGCCTGAGTAGATGGATGTGGGGAGCATTTCCACACTGGTAAACATACTTTAAAAAAAAGTGTAAAACTTTAAGTGTGAAGACTATGTGTTACTGGTACCTGGGATCCAGTTTTAAAATGGTTATATTTGAGTAGAAGATATAGTTTTGTTTTGGGGAAAAAAGTTGGTAAGAAGAAAGATCTCTTTCTTTTTTTTATGTAAATATGTTCTTCCATCTCTACAAAGCTAGGGTGTGGTGATCTAATTGGTCTTTGTAAGCACTGCACAATAAACAGTATTGTGGAATACTGCAGTTCATTAGAGAAGCTGTTACATATTTTATGTACATAAATGATGTAAATGTCACAAATGGGTAAAAAAGGGGGTTGTTTCAAATACTGGTGCAGGAGTAGAGCTGCATTAGCTTGAGAGACCCTGCACAAGCAGAATTATTTTCATAAATGCATTTTAAGTGCTCATAGTTAAGGCAACATACTGTATACCATCAGATTATCAGAAACCTCAAGGAATGCTTCTGCTCTCAAGGGCAAACTGCTTATTAACATACATATACCTCACTGTTTGTGCTCTCATTTGTACTATGGAAAACAACCTTTGAAAGCTCCTTTTCCTCTGCATTTGTAGCCAATGAGAAAAATTAGCAGCAAATAAAAACTAATTTTAGTTATGTTAGGAGCAAGGTATTGCCTTCTGTGTACCAAATTAATTATCTCTCTCTCTCTCCATCCATATATATATATATATATATAAAGATACTACTTTTGGTCTCTTTTGCTCATTTCCCTCCTGAAAAGAACCCTCAGCACAGGGGCTCTGGTGGTTTTTGTTGTATGGTAACTATCCTGGTTGCAATAAAAGACTTCTCTGCTATTTCATTTTGTCCTTTAGAGCTTTTTATTTTTGGGTGTTTCCTTTTCTATTAATAGCTTGCATCAGTAGCACTAATGTCTTGTTGCCTAGTCTTTTTAATAGAAAGAGCAGCAAAGGTGAAACTGCCAAGATTATTTTACTTTCTGGAAGAAGTTTTCAAGAGCCTTACAGAAAGTTTGAAACTTTCTTCTTTCCCATGGTTGCTGCTTGGGAAAACTTGGAGCATGACAAAACAAGAAAAAGTACAGCATGTTTTCAACTTAGGTCTCCCCACCAAGTGCAGTGATGAGGAAGGACAGTATTTCATTAGGAAACTTTAAGTCCCTAGTAATCATTGCCTTATTGTTTCTCACCATCAAACAAGAATTGCATACTCCCAAAGCAAATTAGATAACAGATAATTCAGCTTTTACACTTGCTTCTCTCAGTTTCCATCTGAATTTACTGAACTCATTTATATAAATATTTCTGTAAAATTTGCCTGTTCTGCCTGTTTTTTTTTCTTTCCTTCCTCTTTTTTTTTTTAAGTAAACTGTGTTGCAGTTCAGATATTCCAACTAAGTATTAAAAAACATACAAAATTTGTAAACAAGCCATATGTAGATGCAAAGGGTCAGTTAGTGATTGTGAGGTACTGGATCTGATGCTCTAAAGAAGTAGGTTTTATAATGTATGTACATCTGAATCTCTGAAAACTGATATCTTTCACCAGCACCAGTATATGATGCTTGTAAAGTCTCTCCTTCCTCTTGCTGACACTTCACAGTTGGGGCTATGAGCACATAAGCTCGTGGTGACTCTTTCTGAACTCATCCTGTTACAGGTCTGGCTGAAGCCACTGTCCAAGTCTGTTGTGCTGGCCAAGCAGAACAAAAAGGATACCCAGATTTGGTTGATTTGCTTAGAGGCCAGCTCTGTAGAGCTAATGAAAAAAATGATCAAAATGCAAATGGTTTGTATAGAATGTCCTTGTTCTGTACTTTTCCACAAGTGAATAATGCTAATTAAGAGAAAATTAAAATACTTTGTTTCCGAAACTGTTTCAACTGAGGTAATTTCTATACTTAACTGTGATACTGGTGTCCATAAACACATACTTCATTGCCTGTTGGACATGAAGATACATCTTTGAACTGCAGCAGGTAGAGTGGTGGAACCCAGGAAATGAATTACATACAAACTGGTATGGAAAGATGTATCTACCGTATTTCTTCTATGACAAGAGGTGTCACAAGAGATGTCCATAATCAATATTGCACACTTAATCTAAGACTGAAGAGTTCCTTGTACTCTTCCAATTCTCCCTTGCATTATTAAAAATCAGCAGATACAACTAAAGAGAACAGTGTGATACTTGGGGAAAAAGTGTGCCTTAGTGATAGGTCCTGTAAAGTTTAGGTTTTCCCTTTTTAAATATGAATAGCAAACATTCTTATGCTCCTTCAAACACTTCAGGAATGGTGATCATGACAGGCTCTAGTCTATATCACAAATCTAGGTACAAGGTTTAATACAGTTTAATATAATGAATATCCTGACTTGGAGAAAACCTCATGTTTTTAACGGTTTTGAGGTTTAATTCTCAGGACTTTCAGAGAGTGAAGTTTGCTGGATTAGAGCTCAGTTCCCACTGAGAGCAAAGCAAATGCAATCACAGTGGATATTCTTTAGAATTAGCTATCCTGAAGTATTATTCAATAAAGAACATATTTTTTATTAATATAGGGTCTTACACCATGCATAGTGTCAGGGTACTTTACCATAGCACACCAGGCTACATAACTAGTGAACGTAGAATGTTGGATTTTTTTTTTTCATTTTTGTTAAAGGG